CAAATTCAACGTCCTTTGAAAAATGTTTATAAAGTTAAATTTTTTAAAGAGACCTTGAAAAGCTAGAAAGTGGCACCAATGCAGTAGCCCCATCTGGCATCAGCAGCATCAGAATTTACATATGCAGAAGCACGTAAGAATCCACTCAAAGCACAATAGTTCCTAACCACTATAGAACCTGAAAACAAAATACAAAGCAATGGACACCGACGTAGCACATCCAGTAACCTTTCCACTCGATTCTTAAGGTATTTATCACAAATGCCTGAAAATTAAGGATAATGGTTGCACAGGATTTGTCAGAAATATTCTTACCATACTTTAATCAAATGTATCAGCTAACCTTAGACGTTGAAATCATCTTAGCGGAGAGCCTGCTCTATTCACTTCAATAGTCCCTTTCAGCTTAGAACACTGAATTTTAGAGTCCTTGTTCATCTCAAATTTTCTTTATGTCTTAGTTTTATTTTTATAAATACTAAATGCTTGGCGTGTCTGAAAAAAAGGGGGCAAAAATACTAAAAAAATTGGGGGAGATTTTAGATTCTAATGGGCGCATGCTCGTACGTCAGGAATGCCGTCCTCACAGCTCACTTCAGTAAAAAAAAAAATGTATGTGTATCTATTTAATGTGGTATGGTTAATTTCATAAAGTGTAAGGTCAAAATCATAGACCTAATTATAAATTCTATCAATCATGAGAAATGAATCAAAGGGGCGTAAAATAAAACAAGAAATTGAATAACGCCAGAATAACCGAGTTCGGAGCAAGACTCACCGCGCTACGGCATTTGTAATCGGAATCGTCCGTTTCTTTTCCTTTCCGCTTTCGATCCTCGAAACTCGTCATCCTTTGAATTACGGGTTCTGTCTCAGCCCCTGTCATATTCATCAGCCCTCCATCGTTGCCACTCGATATAGCCGTTAATCCACCACCGCTCATAACCCTGCAGGCTAAATCACCGCTTGATGCGTCGGCTACAGCCGTTCTCTGTAAATCCGAAGCCGTTGATTCGGGCGTCAACCACGTTGTGTCGCCCGAAGTCGAACCGACGACTGGAGATTCCCTTACCTCGCTCTTTGAGTTAGACGGACCAGATTCGAGCCTCCCTGTGTGCCTTGAGAACATCCCGAAGCTATTCATCTTCGTTTCCGGTTCTGTTCTTCTCGTCGGTGGTATTGGCGGCCGAGCAGTCATCCTTGATATCGTTGTTGTCATCGACGTCAACGGCCGGAACTCCATGCCATGACTAGTACGAACTTGCGAAGAATCGCCAACGTTTTGCTCAATCCTCTGAGGTTGCGAAGGATAGAGGAGTTCATTGCATAAACTATTCTCCAAGGTAGAATCATCAACAAGAGGATAATGAAGCCACGTGTGAATGTTTGATTAATCCACCACACCTAAATGGTGTGAAAATTATCTTATTTATAGTCAAATAAATTACAAGGATATGGAAATAGTAATAAATGGAAATAACAATAAATGGAAAGATACCTATAGTAATAAGGCAAATATCTATATTTGCCTTATAATAAAATATCAAATATAATATATATGGTAAACTATAATTTATTACTAAATATCCTTAACACCCCACCGCAAGCTAAGCGTCGGATTTAAACGAACGTGAAGCTTGAATCTGAAAAATTCAAAGAGGTTGAAAAACACTTTTCGTGAAGATGTTAACAACCTGGTTCAGAGGAGGCGTAGAGAAACACTTTCTTGGCCATCGAAAACTGCAGAGAGATTGCCGCTCAGCGGCAATGCTGCCTTGGCTTCGGTGAGAATATGTCTAACCCATGAAGAGGGATTGTCGCTTAGCGACGATGCTGACTTGGCTCTGGTGAGAATATGTCTAACCCATGAAGAGGGATTGTCGCTTAGCGACGATGCTGACTTGGCTCTGGTGAGAATATGTCTAACCCCAAGAAGTAGAAGGGGAAACCTAGAGCAAGGGACAAAGACAATGTTGAAGCCGGAAGAGTCGCCACATTGGGCGAATGAGCCAATTTTGGCGAGAAGGGCGGCGGCAACTTGGTTGGCGAAGATGCCAGTGCGGCGCTCAGATTCCAAAGGTAAATCTCTGCAGAAGGTCGATGGGCTTATTGAGATTCTGTATATTTTCGAAGAGGGATGCTGATGAAGATCCTAAGATTAGGGTTTTTGTGAAGGATGAATGATGAAGGGAAGAATTGTGAAGAAAATGAAGGAGGCTATGTTTGGAAAAGGTGAGGTTGTATGTACAGAGTATGGCGAAGGATGATTTGGAGGTCAAAAAGGTGGAGCCGAAGAATAATCAATCGACTCTGCATGTGACAGCCATAGGATGATTTGGAGGTCAAAAAGGTGGAGCCGAAGAATAATCAATCGACTCTGCATGTGACAGCCATGAGATGATTTGGAGGTCAAAAAGGTGGAGCCGAAGAATAATCAATCGACTCTGCATGTGACAGCCATGATGACTGCCCCTGCGGCATCAAAGACAACAGTGGTGGTGGAGAAGAACAGTAGAAGATTTCAAAAGCCATTGAAAAGAAAGGATCTAGGTTGCTAAACCAAAATGGCTCTGATACCATGTGAATGTTTGATTAATCCACCACACCTAAATGGTGTGAAAATTATCTTATTTATAGTCAAATAAATTACAAGGATATGGAAATAGTAATAAATGGAAATAACAATAAATGGAAAGATACCTATAGTAATAAGGCAAATATCTATATTTGCCTTATAATAAAATATCAAATATAATATATATGGTAAACTATAATTTATTACTAAATATCCTTAACACCACGAAATCATTTCGTCCTCCTGCATAAAGAGCTGCGGCTCTTCCTCTTGATTCAAAGGTCGAATATCTCTGTTCGTGATTTGCTCGGCCGTTGTTGACGGGGGTGATTTCGTCCTGGATTTCTGATTCTGACTATGCACTACCGCTTGTCCGTTCTTCCACAGCAGTTCCATAACCTCGCCGTCTGACCTGTTTTCTCAATCAAACAAATCCAGACTTGTATCCATAAAAATAATCTCGAATCGAGAAACAATAAAGAATGAAAACCGACACTCACATGGAAGATGTCTTGGAGCGCAATGGCACGGAAGAAGTATGAAGCGAGAAATCTTCGTCAGTCTCGAAATCAGGTACGCAGCGATTCATCCTCTTTTATAGATGGATCAAGTAACTAATAGCAGATAAGAAAACAACAAAACCAAATACCAGTCCGTTCAGCTGATTCGATTAATCATTAGTTGAAAAGATAAATCCAACGGAATCAATGAGAAGTCGATGTCGTTTAGCAGCTAATTACGTCTCCAAATGCTCTGAAACGCTGTAAAACAAAAACAGAACATAAAACCGATCATCATTAAACGTCGGTGGAACTAAATTCCAGAATCAAGAAAACATTTCACATCCTTGAACTCTCTATCCATATTGCTATCAGAAAAGTTCTTATTTCGTCTGTTTCCCAACCGCACTAGGTTTTTCCCAATGGCCGCTCCAATTGTCGATTGTCTTTCATGGAAGCTCAAAGTTGCTTAGACGCGATAAGCTCTAATGGAAAGAGAATGTAGAAACTAACCAGTGCTGTGGTTGGGCCTTTGGCTTTGTCGTGTGAAATGAATGAGAAAGCTCATCGCACCAACTGCGCTGCCTTCAATCTCCATGGAACGCTCACTCTCTCTCCTCTCTTTTTTTCTCTCTCTTCTGTACTGAGAAAGAGAACGGAAAAGGACGAGCCGAGGTTTTGACGGTTATGTGCCCAAATCAATGTACTTCATTCCCCCAACTTTTTAAAATAACCTTATTATTATTATTATTATTATTTTAAGAAAATGCATATTTTAGATTTATTGAACTATTTTTTATATTAATAACTTTTTAAAATAACCTTATTATTTATTTTAATAAAATTAATATTTTAGGTTTATTGAACTATTTTCTTTTTTATATTTAATAAATTTTTAATATTAAATATACATTAAATTACAAATTTCATACATTTTCTGCAAACACACCATGGTCTGTCGAAGTATTGTCAACTCCAACAGAAAACCTATCATAGTTCAAGAGCCTAAGTCTAGTCGTACATCTTGAATATGGCACTACATGGTGCATTCAACCTAGCCATGGTTGGGATATGGTGAATCGAGCTTGGTTGCATATTTTGGGCATGGTCAGAGACCCAATGTGGTAGTTTGCTCATGTGTGGTCGAACTTTCATATTATCATATAATAAATTACGATAAGTAATTCATAATTATTTTATTTTAGAATTCCACAAAATTATAAAAATTCAACAAAATTTTTGTGGAAAATACAGATGTAATGTCTTCAATATTGCAGCATTGTGGTATGACCCTTATTTTTTATTATTTAAAGTATTATCATTTTCAATTATCCACCTCACATCATGTGTATTTACGTTTGGAGTAGGTGGAATTATGAACGGTCCGGATCGCGAGGCTACACAAGTTTAACAGATACCGAGAGGAGAGGATAAGAAGTATGTGGACGTTGGAAATTGTGCAGACGTGGCAAGTAAAGAGCATGCCATGTTGGCCAGTTAGAGACAATAAGTGAGCTCCACGTCGGTCTGAGTGAGTCGGACCCCACTTCCTCCACGTGGTCGAGTTATTACATGGACAACAATTACGTGGGATCACGATCAAATTTACCGAAAATATTTAAATTAATTCAACTTAATGAAATTAAATACTAGGTTACAAATATAACAGTGAAAAGTAAAAATTATTAAAATAAGTTAATATATATTAAACCATAATTAGCATATATTTGTTATACTAGAAAAAAAATTATATATATTTGTTGCCATTAATCCCTTTCGGACCTTTTTCTTTTTCTGCTTTACGAACACTTTCTGTTTGTTCATACTAAAGTTACCCATTTTTGAACCCGACGCCGTGAATCCGGACTAGGGTTCGAAATCCCAGACCTTCAAATTCCTGTTAGACCAAGACCCACGAACGAAAAATGGCTCGCACTTGTTGTCATGTTTCTCTTGCTTTCATCCTCAAATGCTTTAATTTTCTTCAAGCTTTTGTTGGGATTTCGATTATTGTTTATTCCGCATGGATGCTCGATCGGTGGAATCATCAAGTTCCTGTATCTCCTCCGCCTTCTCCTGTACCGGCGTTGGCTCCTTCTCCGGCTTCTTCTGCTTCGTTTTATTTGAATTCTGAATCAGTCTCTCTTGCCGATCGGATCACCGCCGCGAATTTAGCTGGCGATTTGATTCCCGAGCTCGGGACGGATTTAGAGCTTGATTTGAATGCCTTTAAGCTTCCGGCTCCTTGGTGAGATTTATTTGAATTTGTGTGGTCGGGCTTTGATGTGAAGTTTTCGATTCCTTGTGTTTCCTGCGAGTCTTAATTAGAAGAATTGAAAATCCGTGTTGCGCATTTATGAAATGGGACAGTTTTTGTAATCAATGGTCGAAATCCTTCAAAATTATATTAACTTCGTTCTGTATTTTAATTCGTTGGAATTTTCCTTGGATACTCTCTCACTGTTGCTGCCTTTTCTGTTGATTATTCCCCAACAATCAATTGAGTTTGAAATTTAGTTCTGGATGAGTTTGAAGGAATTTAGACTTGAATAGCGTCAGTTTAACTCTTCATTTTTGGTGATGGAATATTGTGAACATGGATTTTGCTCCAGTCTTGTCCCGAATGATTATCTTTCTGTATAGTAATTTGGAAGTTTTTTAAGATATGAAGCTCTTAATTTTATGCTGATTTATCATTATGATCATTGCTGCATATTGGGTTCATATGATTGTCAGGTTCATCTACTCATTCATGGGATTGGGCATCATGTTGTGTTCTACTACTTTAGTTGGCTGCATTGCAGCTGAAGCAATAAGTGGCTGCTGCCTCTGTTTTGTATCCTACTATTTTCAGTCTATTACAGCTTGTTTCTCACTTCTAGATATTGCATTTTTTTTTTCTGTGAAGTTACTATTTTGGGCAAGACTAGTAGTCTTGTCCTCAATTTTATGAGGACTAAAAGAAACATGGTACAGGAACTCATGTTTGCCGTCAATTTCATGAGGACTAAAAGAAACATGCTACAGGAACTCATGTTTGCCGTCAATTTCATGAGGACTAAAAGAAACATGCTACAGGAACTCATATTTGCCCTCAATTTCATGAGGACTAAAAGAAACATGTTACAGGAACTCGTGTTCGCCCTGGTGTAGAAGTTACTAATCCTAATTCGTAGAACATATGTTTGGAAGAATTGCATTCTTTTTCCCGTGGGGTTACTATTCAACCTATAGAACTCAATAGCCCAAGCCCACCCATTGACATATATTGTCCGCTCTGACCCCTTACGTATCACCGTAAGCCTCACGATTTTAAAATGCGTCTATTAAGGAAAGGTTTTCACACCCTTATAAAGAATGTAAGATGGCTTTCCCTTAACCTAGCAATACTAGTACAACATGCTTATAATACTGTTTATTCTCGTGGAAGTGGCTTTGGTATCATTTATTGCAATTGATCGCCGGTGGGAAAAGGTATTCTTCTGCACTTGAAAGCAAATTTACATGTGCATAAGCATCTATTGATATGTGTTTACCTGAAAACAATGATGCAGGATCTTCCATTTGACCCAACGGGTGAACTCGATGGACTCAGGAAATTCATTGAAGACAACGTCGATCTGTGCAAGTGGATCGGTATCATCGTGATTTCAACGCAGGTAGAATTGATGGAATTAATCATCTATCCCTCGCTCGTTTCTGATTGCATTTTGTTGTTGAGTATTAAATGGGCAGATTGAGTATCGTTAAGATGAACCTCATTTTTTGGTTTTCCCCTCCCAAATGCATAATGGACCTTTTTCTGAAGTCGTTTTATTCAGCAAACGAGCAAAATAGCAAGCATGTGAATCATATGTTGTTGTCTTATAAAGTTGTGAATCCTCAGTTTAGTTGCTCGGGTAAACTGACTCGACGCTTCCCTTCTGGCCGTTTGATCTCTTTTGTCCATTGCAACAGTGGCTTACGTTGCCCGTTTTTTGCAGTTTACCAAAGTTTATAGTGTAACCTCTCAGGTTCTATTTGATTATACTTTGTTATGGTCATTCACTTTAGTCCTTCATGCGACCTCTCAGGCATTGTCTCTACTGTTAGCAATCATTCTGAGATCCATGGTTTCAACCCGTAAAACTGAGTACGATACCAACGAGGAGATCGGTGATCAAGACAGAATTCGGGAAACATTGCTTAATCCACCTGCAAATCAAGCTTCTGGTGCTAAATTTGCCCTTTGGGGTGCACGCATGAGAGAGAAGGTATCACATTAAACCTTGCCCTATTCTTCTCTTTTAGCAAAGAGGAGGCATACAGAATCTGTGTCTAAATGTAGTCTCCATCCTTTTCATTGCAGTATGGATTGAAAAACAGTGAATGATAGAGTTCATCAAACCAGAGTTCGTAAATAAATATTAAAAAAAAAAAAAAAAAAAAAAAAAAAAAAAAAAAAAAAAAAAAA